CTTACGAGGAAATGTTTTCCACGGCTTTACGAGGAAATCTTTCCTCGTAAATTAGCTAGGCCTTTACGAGGAAAATAGCCTTTACGATGAACGTCTTTCGACGAAACACGTTTCCTCGCTATTTCCTAGTAAAGGGCCCTTTACTAGGAAATAACGAGGAAAACCCGTCCTAGTAAAGGACGTGTTTTCTTGTAGTGTCCTGAGAAGAATACAAGCAAGAAGAGGCTCTATATGATCTGGAGGGACGGTTAGGCTGTCTTATTCTTGACATTACTCGCCTAATCTATTTTTATGTTTATAATTACTTCAAGTGGTACTGATTTTTAAATTGATGTTTAGTGGAGTATATGGTAAAATCTTGAGGAAACTACCACACAAACAGTCATTTTTTCAGGTTACTATTGCATTTGTCAGAACAGTTATACGAAATGCCAGTGCTTTCATAGATTGAAATATCTTGAACAAAGTCATTTCGATCGTAAGATAAAAATATACCAATCAATATCTTTTGAATTTGACAAAATGATAATTTCAAAGAATATGATCATACAAAACAAAGCAGAAGTGCGGTACACATGTTACTCATACATTGGTAGACGCAAACCCTACCGTTTCTTCTTCTTACACTTTCACCACATTTGTTTCCCTCTTGGGAACCCAATTCACTAGTTCATTTATTATACTCTTTTTATTATTCTTTCTGTTTTTGTCCTTATTTTATACATTCTTGCAAAAAACGACACTCATATCTTATACCATATAGATGACTAGACTAGCCCGAATAATCCAAAGTTTTCATACAAATAAGACATTGAGATTTCTGAGATCTGTAAATTCAGTTTTTAATCCTTGCCCTATTATTAAGAGGTGATATATACAAAAACATTATTTTCATGGAAAAATGATGAAGATATATGTATAGTGTGCTGCGACGGTCGGTTGGTCCCACAGGAAGAGAAGAAGTGACAACAACGAGCAGTGCATTTCCAACTTTGCCCTTCACCCTTTCGGTTCGCGCGTTTTACCTGCTTACCGTTTACACCTGTCGCGCTTTTATCGGTTTCATCATTAACTATTAATTATTTAAAATTCAAATAATTCTTATTTTACGTTCTGCCGAAAAATACTTAATTCGTTATTTAATGAGTCGCCGCCGCGCCGGCCGTTACGATTGCAGCAGCACGACTGTTTTTCAGAATTTTTTTTGTTTTAATATATTAAATATATATTATTATAGAATATAAAAATCCATCATTAATAAGACATCATTGTCTCATCCATTTTTCATAAATATAAATGAATAAAAATCTAATAAGGAAAAACTCTTTAGTAAAATATATATTAGGAAAAACTCTAATACTTCTTACAAACCACTAATAATAAGTAGTTGCCCAAAACAAAAAAAACCCACTAATCTATTATATTAAAAGAGAAGTCATGACTCACTTCATGTGTGATATTTTAGTTTGGACCATCTTTAGAGTTTTATAAAATTTTACATAACATTATAATATCTTTTCATATCTTTAATTTTTTGTTTGAAATACAAATAAATAGTTTTAAGAAAATTCTAACAAAATCTTTTAGAATCTTTTTCAAGATATAGTTTCAAAAATTATTTGATTAAAATCTTAATATCATAAAATATAATTAAANATATTTTAGTTTGGACCATCTTTAGAGTTTTATAAAATTTTACATAACATTATAATATCTTTTCATATCTTTAATTTTTTGTTTGAAATACAAATAAATAGTTTTAAGAAAATTCTAACAAAATCTTTTAGAATCTTTTTCAAGATATAGTTTCAAAAATTATTTGATTAAAATCTTAATATCATAAAATATAATTAAATTTTTAATTCATTTTTAATTTATAAACAAAAAGTTGAAATTATGTAAAATACTTTTAACAATATCCCAAAATTTTGTTTATGTATTATGTAGGACTAACTTAATTAATTTTTACATAGATTTCAAATTTAGAAATAAAACAAAATATATAAATTAGTAATCTTACATAATAATTAAATTATTACAAAAATACAAATTTATAAATTTTATATTAATAATATTATAAGTCACATAAAATGATTATAAATTGGATAGCATAAATAATCAAATTATACTTATTTATTGATAAATTTTATTATATAATTTTAAATATTTTCGTATTAAAATACCCGCACGGTTGTGCGGGTCGAAATCTAGTGATAAGTTAAAGAGGAAAAATCTTATCTTCATTTAAAATTTACAATTTTCTTTTATTTTTAGATTATTTTCAAAAAAATCAAAACTTAAACAAGCAAAATATTATTTTCTTAATTGAAAAAAAATAAATAAACAAAAACAAACAATATTTGGCTATTTATGATATTTCGTTCTTTATTTCTATTGTTAATTATTTTATGTACGATGTAGAGATGTGAGGATTTATATAGTACTCAACAAACTTTAATTAAAAATAAAGAAACATTCGAAATAGATTTCAAATTAAAGCAGAAACCCCTTTTTCGTCATTTCGTTCTTTCTTTTTAAGACACATCACTTTTTTTATAATTTTTCGCTTTTTTCGACCACCACTCTCTCTCTCATTCTTGACTTCTGTTTCAGACTCTCAAGAGAGCGCGCCTGCCTGCAAACCTCAGCACCGAGAGAGAGAGGTTGAAAGCATATCACCAAGCCCTACACTCCGTTGTTACTGATTCTCATGGAGAATCTCTCTCACTCTCGCAGTAACCCAAACAGGTCAAAGAAACCATCTCACAACGTTAACGGCAAAACATCAAACACAGCCACAACATACGACGACGTTTTCGGCGGTCCTCCTAGGTTCGGACCTCCAACTCTATCCCCTCGTCTCGAAGACTACTGCGAAATCTTCTCAGGGTTCAACGGCTCCTCACGCGCCGCCGTCTCCTCGATTCCGGTCCTCGATCTCCCCATCGTCGACGATAGTAAAGGTGTCTACTTTGATGTCCGGAGAGAGAGTTTCGATTACAGAGAAGTCTTCGGAGGTTTCAATGATCTCGATTTCGCTCCCTCCTACGAGGAGCTCTTTATGCAGAGGAGGTCTACTACGGTGGCTGATGGAGATTCCTCCGACGATGCTTGGTAACGTATTTAGACCCATTAGAGTTCAAAAGTTTCCTCCTTTATGAGATGGGAGTTTCATATCTCTACTAAAGTTTCGTCCTTTATGATCTCGTAGGACTCCTGAAGAAGTAGAGACAGAGCATTCTGAGAAAAGTCCTTCCTTTTCTAACGGAAGAGATTCTTATGATTCGGTTGATGGATGTACGGAGTTCAACATCTCTTATAACAAAGCTACTCAGATGAACGGGACAAGCATCTCCGGTGGTGTGACACGTGTAGCTGATCTTGGTGGTTATACTGTTGCGGTTGATGAGATGGTTGGTGGGAAGAAAGAGACGGGTCCCTCTTCTGTTGGGAGAGGTGAGAGTAATAAATATGTCTTTGAAGATAAGGATGATCAAAAGTATTATGCTAGTGAACCTTTTGTGACTGTTTCTGAGATTGGTTTGAGGACTCATCCTACTGGTATACCACCTCCTTCGAGACCACCTCCTGTGTTGATGAAGAGTGATTTTAGAAGGTCGGGTTCTAATTCTAGAACTACTGGATCTGATGGGTCCATGGATGGGAGTTCTCCACCGTTTTTTGATGTTGAGGTTGATGCAAGTTCAGCTGCTGTGAGAGACGCTATGGTTAAAGCTGAGGCTAAACTTAAAAGTGCAAAAGAGCTGTTTGAAAAGAAGCAAACCTCCATGAATAATAGAATGAGCGAGGAAGGGAAATCGAGCCATGCAGCTAGGAAACCTCTGAGGGCTGAGCGTGGAAGTAAGTCTCTTTCTTCTCAAGGGTCTGTAAATTCTGATGGAAATGAGGAATGGGAAGAGGCTACACAATTTGTTGAATTGGTGAGAACAGAGCAACCTAGAAATGCTGATGAGAACAGTGGTGGAGAAGATGTTTCTTTTCCTCTTAATTCCGGGTTTTTCGATCAGAAGCTGAGCAGAGCAAAAGGAGATAGGGAGGATCATGAAGGCAAGAAGTTGCCAAAACACCCTGGAACGAGAAAGGTAGCGTCTAGGCATAAGAGACACGAGGACAGGCATGCAAAAAGAGCTACTGAAGAGCCAAAGAATGAGAAGTTGAGAGATGTTGAGCTGCAATTTGAGATAGGCAACAGTTTAACTGATCATGGTGGAATAGTGAAACAAAGAAACCTGATTAGGCCAGAAGAAAACAAGCACTTTAGTGGAGAAAAGCTAGCAAAGCCAAAGAACCAGGATTGTGTGTTTGATTGGGAACAAAATGCGAGAAAGCTCAGGGAGGCTCTTGGTCTATCAGATAATGAAAGCACGCTAGAGGTTCCCCTGGGAATGAATGGCGAAATGGACGAGAGTGAGACAAAACTGAAGGAGGCTTTGAGGCGTGTGGAGGAGGAAACTAGCTCTAAAGAGGCTTGTGTAATGGAAGAAAGAGAGAAGGCAGAAAATGAGAAAAGACTACACGCAGCTTTGGAGCAAGAAGAGAAGGTCAAAAAGCTTAAGGAAGCTCGTGAAAAAGAAGAGAACGAACGAAAAGCGGCAGAGGCTCGCCAAAAGGCAGAAGAAGAAAAGAAAATGAAAGAACAAGAAGAGTATGAATTGCGGCTAAAAGAAGCCTTTGAAAAGGAAGAAGAAAACCGTAGAATGAGAGAGGCTCGCGATAAGGCAGAACAAGAAAGGAGAAGGAAAGAACAAGAAGAGTATGAAAGGAAGCTAAAAGAAGCTTTTGAAAAGGAAGAAAAGAACCGTAAAATGAGAGAGGCCCGTGAGAAGGCAGAGAATGAAATGAAAATGAAAGTTGCACTTGAACAAGAGAAAGAGCGGAAAAGAAAAGAAGCACGTGAAAAAGAAGAAAACGAACGAAGAATAAAAGAGGCTCATGAGAAGGCAGAGATGGAAAGGAGGATGAAAGAGTTGCAAGAGAGGGAAGCATATGAGAGGAGGATGAAAGAGTTGCAAGAGAGGGAAGCATATGAGAGGAGGTTGAAAGAGGCTCTTGAGCAGGCAGAGAATGAGAGGAGGTTGAAAGAGGCACGTGAAAAAGAGGAGAATGAGAAGAAGCTGAAAGAAGCTATTGAGCTTGAAGAGAAAGAGAAAAGGCTGATAGAAGCTTTTGAGAGGGCGGAGACTGAGAGAAGACTGAAAGAGGAGCTCGAGCAAGAAGAGATGAGGCTGCAAGAGACCAAGGAAAGAGAAGAAAGAGAAAGAACACTGAGAGAAAATCAAGAGCGCCAGGAAAAGGAAATGAAACAACATAAAGATACAAGAGAAGCGAGAGAAGGAGACACATGTGAAATGGAGAATACGTGTGAAACCACCAATGAGAATGGAGGGCAATGGTTGAAAGAGAATCTTAGCGCCAGTTCAGAAGAGGATGAGAGAGTAGAAAACCACGAACCAGTGAACAAGGTTCTAGTGGAAGAAGGACCAAGCCATAGAGTCTCTGTGTCCGAAGAAGACTGTCACTGGAAGGTATTTGAAAAGAATCTTAAAGATGCAAGTCAAAAAGAAGGAACCAGTGAGGTGGATGCTGAATCTAGAAAGCTAAATGGAGAATCAGGTGAGGAATCCGCTTCTGTGACTAACAATGTCCAAGGAGGAAAGCTCAACCAGAAAAGCAAAAAATCTGAAAGCAATGGGAGTGTTGGTGGTGATCAAAGGAATCCAGAGGAAAGCAAGTGTGCTACTAACAAAGCATCCTCTGGTTTCAGAAACCATGAAGATGCAAAAATAGAAAGACCACTGCCTTCTAGAGTATACGTGCAACGCGAGAAAGAAGCAGAGAGGCTAAAGCGAGAACTAGACACTAAGATGGAGCGTCTAAGAAAGATAGAGGAAGAAAGGGAGAGGGAAAGGGAGAGGGAGAAGGATCGAATGGCTTTTGATCAGAGAGCCTTGGCTGATGCACGTGAAAGATTGGAGAAAGCATGTGCTGAGGCCAGAGAGAGGTCTTTCCCTGATAAGGCAGCAATGGAGGCAAGGCTTAAAGCAGAACGTGCAGCAGTAGAGAGAGCCACCGCTGAAGCTCGTGAACGTGCAGCTGAAAAGGCTGCTTTTGAGGCAAGAGATCGGATGGAAAGATCAGTTTCTGATAAGCAGTTTCAGAGTTCAGGTTTGTCTGGTGAGCGGATGGAAAGATCAGTTTCTGATAAACAGTTTCAAAACTCAGCCTCTTTTGGTGCTTCAAGATTTCAAAACTCTCCTGGTACAACTACTCTCTCTACTTGTTTTTGTATTCATCCTCAAGCTTTAACTCTTGTGTCTGTTTAAGGTGCTGATGGAGAATCACCTCAAAGGTATACATCGAGACTAGAAAGGCATCGAAGAACAGCTGATCGTGTGGTAATTAACACTTTTCTAATTACTCTGTACTCAGTAATAGTGATTTCTCACCGTTGATTAATGTATTCTTCACAGGCTAAAGCTTTAGCAGAGAAGAACATGCGTGATCTCGTGGCTCAGAGGGAACAAGCAGAGAGAAATGTATAAACCACCAAACCAAAACTCTTTTCTTCAACTTCAAATAAAAGCCTTCAATTTATTGCAATAATCGAATGTTGTTTCTTTTTTTTACAGAGGATTGGTGAAACCTTAGACGCGGAAGTAAAGAGATGGTCAAGTGGGAAAGAAGGAAACATAAGAGCATTACTCTCAACATTACAATACGTATGTTTTCCTAATGAACAACTTAGAGAGATTCAAAGCTAAAAGTAGAGTCTTAGTCTTTTTATCTTTGTTATTGAAACAGATCCTCGGTTCTGAAAGCGGTTGGCAACCAATACATTTAACAGAAGTCATAACATCAGCAGCTGTGAAACGAGCTTACAGGAAAGCAACACTTTGTGTTCATCCAGACAAGTTACAGCAACGAGGTGCAAACATTCACCAGAAATATATCTGCGAGAAAGTCTTTGATCTTCTTAAGGTAACCAACTTCACACAACATATCTGAACATGAACTTTGAAATGTAGAATTATGTTTATGTTTTTAAATTTCCAGGAAGCTTGGAACAGATTCAACTCAGAAGAAAGGTAGAGAGAGAGAGCCCCTTTGTGTTGTGGACTTTGACCTCCTTGGTATATTGCTCAGAAGAAAAGGCTTTGATTTTTTTCTTTTCCTTTTTTATATAAAAATTTGTAAAGTCGTGCTTATTAACAAAACAATTATTCATTTAATCTGACCAGCTTTGAACAATCAAAACGTGTTATTCGTTTGTTTGACCTAATGAAATTACAAGCCAAGTCTCGTGGATTGTGTTAGATTAATAGACTTGAAAAGTCAAAGAAGCTTCGACCAACACATCTTTATATATAAACAACACAATGATGAAACTCTCTCATTACAACAACAAGAAACAAACAACAACAGAATCATCTCTGCACATCATCTTCTTTTTTTTTGGACAACACACATCATCTGCTTATAACTATCAAAAGATGCAAACTCTAAGAAGCTTTAGCACGAGGACAAGAAGCCGTCGTGGAGGCTACGAGAGAGTGAGTGATGATTCAACTTTCAGTTTACTCGGAGCAAAGCTAAGAAGATCAACGAGTGTTCCTTACTACGCACCATCTATAAAGCTTGGTGCGGGTGGTGTTCCGACCATACTCGAGGAGCTACCTCATCAAAAATCCAAGAAAGTCAAAGCAACAAGCAAATTTAGCCACCCTATTTTTAGCTTTTTATATGGGAAGAAGAAGAAGCCGTCGACAACAAGGAAGCCTGAGTTTTCTAGGTATCTTGAGTATCTCAAAGAAGGTGGTATGTGGGATGCGAGAACTAATACTCCTGTTATTTATTACAAGTAGATGGTGATCTTATGGAATATGAAAAATCAAGTTTTTGTTTAATTCAGTTGAGTTTTTATTTTTTTATTGTTTGGTGATGATATTTGTATATTACAATCGTCAATTCATTCATTTGATTTATAAGAATACAAGTGGTGGAAACAAAGTTGTATGTTTTGGAGCAATTTCTATTCGGACATGATACAAAAGTTCCAAAGCAAACATTAGATGAATCAATACAATAAGTCCCAAGGTCAGACAGGACTGGTTTGACTATGTAGGCATGTGCACTTTAAACGGTTGCCGTTTTTAGGAGGAAGTTTGAATAGTGAATGTTTACTAGTTTTGGACAATTCTAGTTTATGTATGGAGCTGGCGCTTATATAACATCAAAAGCGAGTTCATAAACTTGGACCTCTAGGTATTAATCAAGCAAAAGAAAGATATAGAAGTACAATGCTCTAAATCATATTCAAAATAGCTCTTAGGCTCGAAAGCAGCAGCTAACAACCTCTTGATGCTGGCCCTTTCAATGTATTCATCAATAGGGGGTAATCATTGAAATAAGTACCAGAGAAAAAACTTGGTAGTGCTGTTCCTAAAACTAGCAGGAGCACTTTCAGTTTGAAGGGGTTGGAAAATACATGTTTTATGCATATGCTGTGGATTGAGTTTTTAAAAATGCATCATACCCATGAACCTTTAAGAAATTGAACTGACATCTAGAGTAAACAGCTCCAAATAATTTTTTTATTAGTGACAAACCTAAATCTCAACCGAAATTAGTGAAAAAACATTCTCTGAAATGATAGATGTCAAGTAATAGTTATTTTCGGTTGGATAACATAATATAGTTCTGAGAAACATGTTTTCTAGAATCATTAGATGTATATCTGAATATTTTTTTGAATAACCTTATTCATTTACTTGACCCACTCTGAACAATAAAAACATGTTAGTATTCATTTATTTGTAATTATGCAAATATAAATCGAGTCTCGTGGAAGTTCTTGTTGGATGAGGTCAACAATTGCGATATTGTAGATTTGAAAAGTCAAAGAAGATCGACTAATATGTCCTTCTCATCACTTAATTTATATTATTTTATAAAATAAAAAACATAAAAATGCTTGGACTTTTCAAATTGGCAGCCAAACTGTGACCATGTATCTACCTTCAAATTAAATAAGATACAACCATAAAATATCGTCTCAGCTCCATATATAACAACACATTGATGAAACTCTTCCTCACTACAATAACAACAACAAGAAACAACAAAATCATCTCTTTACTTCTTCTCTTAAAAAAATCATCTTACTTGACTTGTCTCCTTTACAGTTAATTTATTTAAAAGATGGAACTGGTAAGAAGCTTTAGCACGCGGACAAGAAGCCGTCGTGGAGGCTACGAGCGAGTAAGTGATGATTCAACTTTCAGTCTACTCGGAGCAAAGCTGAGACGATCAACGAGTGTTCCTTACTACGCGCCATCTATAAAGCTTGGTGCTGGTGGTGTTCCGACCATACTCGAGGAGCTTCCTCGTCAAAAATCCAAGAAAGTCAAACCACCAGGCAGATTTAGCCACCCTATCTTTAGCTTTTTATACGGTAAGAAGAAGAAGCCGTCGACCACAAGGAAGCCTGAGTTTTCTAGGTATCTTGAGTATTTGAAAGAAGGTGGTATGTGGGATGCAAGAACTAATTCTCCTGTTATTTATTACAAGTAGATGATTAAATTTATGGAAATGAAAATCAAGAAAAGCTTTTCAAGTGTTTGTTTCATTCAAATGAGAGTTCTTGTTCTTTAATTTTGTAACGATCTTTGTATTATAATATCAATTCATTAATTTGTTTATATGAATATATGAGCATAATTTGATTTGAATATGATTTAATAGTTTCAAAACAAATATTAGACGAGTCAAAATGTCAAAGTCAAATAGTTTTGGTTTGACTATTGATGCATGTCTAGCCTTTAACGCTGCAGTTTAGGAGAAGTCTGAAGAGTGAATCTCCGTTTGGTTGGTTACGTGGAGCTTAAGGGAGACTTCTCTTGTGTATACGCTTTCTACCTAATTTATAACATAAACATGTTTATTGTACATATATAGTCTGATCACCAGCAGAAAAGTATTAGCAGTTTGATTGATTCTATACATTGAAAATGCTACAAGTGAAATGAACAATAATGTTCATTCTGTTTCATTGATATTCTGGTTTTATCATCATATATTCAGATACACATAAGTTTCATTTCAATGTTTCAAATTTTCTTTTTTAGGACAGCAACGAATGTGATGGGTCTTATGTCTTCTTTAGCCAACTCCTCGTCAACCAATCTACCATATATATCAAACAGCTTGTCAAGAATCTCTTCCCCAAAGTGTAGAGCAAGCATTGACTCTTGAACCGCTCTTACCGTCTTTGCAGCCGCCTTACCATAACTAACACCATCCTCGTCGCCTTCCTCCTTGTCAACTTCTAACATCTCTAACTTCTCTAGCTCAAAAGACCCTTCTATGTTCACTTCATGTTCTATCTCAGCACCACTCGGTGCGTAGAAATGCATCTCGTACGAATCAAGCTTCTCTTCCTCAGTTTCTCCCTACAATAACATGGTTTTATATATCAAGATCCATCTTAGTGAAATCAAAAGATGCATGTACCTGTGCTACAAGCTCGGATATGGATCTAGCGAGAAGCTCCCAGAAGAAAGAGTTTCCTCTATCCACATGATTAGGACCTTCTCTTCCGAGCATTATGAGCACCATTCTACCTCTTGCAACCACCTCTTTTGATCTAAACCGGAGGAACATGGAGAAATCTTCCTTGAATTGAGTGTAGTAAGCTTTGGAAACAGCTTCAGGGCTTGAGGAGCAGATGTTAACACAGCCTTTGTTTATAGACTTGCCTTGATCATCATACAAAGCTGGAGGAATCTTCAAAAAAAAAAAAAAACAATTCAGTATATATATGTGTCAATCTCTCAGCCTCAGCTTTTATAGATAAATATGTACACCTTAGAAAGCCAGTGTAAGCTGTAAGAGGCATAGATAAAGTGGATGGTGTTTTCAGGGAAGATCCTTCCATAGAATGATCCAGGATAGGCTGCAATGAAAACTGAAGGGCAGGCACCATTCTTGGCATCTCTCTTGAGCTCTATGTGGAAGTCAGGCAAGGTCTTGAATATGGAGTTGAAGTCATTTCCAGGGAGATCGTTAAGGAAGAAGCTGAATTCCGGCAAGGGCTGGGTTGGGATCTCACGGTGGTGAGCAAACTCAACGGCTTTGATGATGTCTTTAATGGTGGAGAGAGTGTTTGGTCCTGAAGAACATCCCAAGTCAGCTATTCCTAAGCTCTTTGGTTTTGTCTCCTTGTAGAGTTCTTGCAGTGTCTCTAGTGTTATGTGTTTTGCTTCATCAGATGCTTTCTTCTGCAAAAACAACAAAAAGGTAAACTCAAGAATATGATCATTAAGTGAAGATATTTGAAATATCAAGAACCTGTAAGGAAGAGTTTCTTGCATAACTAGTTTTCCCAACTCCTCCGGTCATGTGAAACTCTCTTTCAAGATCCCTCTTATCCATCACAATGACAAAAAAAAAAATGTTAAAAATCAGTGTTTTGGGTTAGGGTTTGTTCTTTTGGTATTAGGAGTGCCTTTAATCTTTGGCCTGTCACCTCAATCTTCCATTACCTATACTTTTTTTTTTCTTTTGAGGAAATTGTGTGGATTTAACAATAGGATAGGACCCGTAAATAATATAAATGCACACCTAGTCCATATAAACTAGGAATGGAAACCAGGACAGCTATTTTTTGGTTGGATTCTAATATAAATTTGATGTTTCTTGGACCATCTTCAGCTGTTGGGTTTTGACTAGAATCTACCTTATTAAAAACAAAATAAAGAACAGATACAAAGAAAAACAAAGAAAGTTTCTTTCAGAAAAAAAATCTTGAGAAATCCATGATAAATTATGAGTACATGTGCTTCTTTTTAATTGAATATTTTTAAAAATAAAAAATAAAACTAATACACTTTCGTCACTATAATTTTTTTTTATATATAGAGGCAATCATCACTATAAACTTCAAATGAAAATTATTATCGTTGGAAATGCTCTTATCAAAATCATCTTGAATTCATGACAACTATCGTGTTTGCGTTTTGGCGTTCCTTCATCATTGTTCATAATATGAAAAAAAAAATTAAAGATATGTTTTCTTCTTTGAGTGGGTGAATTTAGTTCAGAATGAGAAATGTTAGGTGTAGTCCAAAGTGACCAAAAATAGGAAATTAAGAAAAAAAAAAGATAATATAAACAATAGAAATAGAAAAATCGGAAAGTTTCCAACTACATCATGATGCTTTCATGTTATGTTTGTACTTTCTTTACTCTGTTATTGCCTAATATATTGGGTATTAACATCATCACATGGTTCTCAGTATGCTCCATTATATGAAATATTGTTGAACAGAACAGGACTATAGTGTAATTTAATGTTACAAAACCTTATAGAAAAGTAGGGGGAAACTTTGGGACAGAATTTATATGATTAAGGAGGAAGAAGATAGATTGACTTTTAAAGGTAGAAAGCTAAACAAGAATGAGAGATGATGATGATAGGTTTGTGTGACCATCATTTCCCTCCACCCCTTCCTTACCTTTAGGCTTTTATTGTCTTTCTTACTTTAAGACGTTAGTGGTGGTGGAATCCTTGGCTGAGTCATGAGTGTAGTGTATGCTTTGTCAGAGAGAGAGAGGCGATAGTTTTTTGTACAATATGGGTTTGTGTGTTTGAGGGGCATGCACGCGTGTCACCAGAGGGACTGATGCAAAGCTGTTTGTAAAAGTTCATATGGTTTCTTCCATGATCTTCTCTCTCTCGTTGATTATGTCTTATTTTAAGTTAAGGTAATCTCTTTGTTTGCTTTCTTGTTAGATGTTAATATTGGTTTTTGAGTAATTCGATCGCATTTTGCATACTTTGAGCTTAGTCCCTATTCCAAGGTTTGGATGTTTCTCTCGAATCCAACTTTAAAGCGAGGTGGACAAAAGTAGACCATGAAGCTTTGGAGTTTGGTAAAGTCTCATACATTCTTCTTATTAGTTCATTTATTGGCTCTTGGCCATGATAGTGAGTGTATTGATTATATATAAATATATCAAATGAATTGGTTCTTCTAAAAATACATACAAATTATTCCCTAAAATGGGTTAGTTTAATATAGAGAAAAAGGAGGGGAAAATGCACATTTAATTCCCCAACTATTTGAAATCGGCAGTTTTAATACTCAAGTATTACTCGCGCAGAATTATTCCTCAACTAATAGTTGACTGCGTGAAATTAGGAACCAAATAATCAACCGTTAACTGGTTAACGGAAAGATAACGGTTTCCGTCAACCTTTTAACGGTTGACTATTTCGTTCCTAATTTCACACAGTCAACTGTTAGTTGGGGAATAATTCTGCGCAAGAAATACTTGAGTATTTAATCTGCCGATTGAAAATACTTGAGGAATTTAAAACATCAATATTTAAAAAAAATATATAATTTAAAAGATTTTCAAGTCAGATACAATCAATATACGAGATTTTTACTTTTTGAAAGAGAATTTTGAGCTTTTACAATAACATGTACAATCATAGAAATAGTTAGAGTTGCAGTTTATTGTTGATGTACTTCATGTTTATAAAATCACATATGGATGATTTCATATCATTTACGGACTCATATGTTGTAAATTAGATCTCTACTTTAGACTAGGGATGGCAAAAAATATCGAACCGAATGAAACCGAACCAACTGAACCAAAACAACTCTAAACCAAACTGAACCGAGTTTAAACCGAACCGAGAAAACAATGTGCTTTTGTTATTATTTGAAAACTAAAGTCTCTATTAACTTTATACAATATACTTAAATCCTAACACTAACGATTAACTTTATTAACGCTTTTTAAAAAGAAAAAAAATTATTTACTTTAGTTAAATTTGATTTGATTGTGTTCTTATAAAAAAATGATGATTTTTTTAGATATTTTTTTTCAGTTTTATTGTACATGTCATTGTAAATTAATTATACTATAAATCTGAAAAAAATAACAGAAAAAATCATCATTTTTTATAAGAACACAATCAAACCAAAGTTAACTAAAGTAAATAGATTTTTTTTTTTTTAAAGCGTTAATAAAGTTAATCGTTAGTGTTAGGATTTAGGTATATTGTATAAAGTTAATAGAGACTTTAGTTTTCAAATAATAACAAAAGCACATTATTTTCTCGGTTCGGTTTAACTTGGTTCAGTTTGGTTTGGAGTGGTTTCGGTTCAGTTGGTTCGGTTTCATTTGGTTCGATATTTTTTGCCATCCCTAGCCTAAAGTAGAGATCTAATTTACAACATATGATTCCGTAAATGGTATGAAATCATCCATATGTGATTTTATAAACATGAAGTACATCAACAATAAACTACCACTATAACAATTTTTATTATTGTACATGTTATTGTAAAAGCTCAAAAATCTCTTTCAAAAAGTAAAAATCTCGTATATTTATTGTATCTGACTTGAAAATCTTTTAAATTATATATTTTTTTTAAAAAAAAATATTGATGTTTTAAATTCCTCAAGTATTTTCAATCGGCAGATTAAATACTCAAGTATTTCTTGCGCAGAATTATTCTCCAACTAATAGTTGACTGTGTGAAATTAGGAACGAAATAGTCAACCGTTAAAAGGTTAACGGAAACCGTTATCTTTCCGTTAACCAGTTAACGGTTGACTATTTGGTTCCTAATTTCGCGCAGTCAACTACTAGTTGGGGAATTATTCTGCGCGAGTAATACTTGAGTATTTAAACTGCCAATTTCAAATACTTGGGGAATTAAATACCCATTTTCCCGAAAAAGGAGATACTTATTTTAAAGAAGATGGAGCGAATATATGAGTGGGCTCTATAATAGACCGAAGATATGGATCAAGTCATGATTTAATTTCCCACGATAAACAAGAAAACATTTGAAATTATAACATTATACACTAAGTGGCTTAATAATGTTTGAGGTTTCCATATATCAATCTCAAAGCCACGTACAAACTAAAGTGATCAACATTATATAGGAAATGACATGTTTTTAAGCTTTATCGACAGTTCAAGCTGCCAAGACATGGTAGGGGGACCCTACTAGGGACCTAACTAGAAAAACTGTTTGGACCTCCTTTTCTTTGAGTTCGATCGAATAAGATATCCAAACAAGCACTCGTTTACCATATTATTATTATTATTTTTTGATAAAGGGCTTATTTACCATATTATTATTGATGCGATCATAACCTCAAACATTTATCGTCAAGCAAATGTTGATATAATGAAATACATATAAATAGTGTGATGTAGTATAAAATTCCATGCACTAAGGCACGCTAACTATTCCAAATTTACTAGCAATAAACATATAAATATTGTGATACGTAGAATAAAACATGAAAAGCCTTGATAAATTGAAGTTGTACTATAAGCATACGTGGTCATATCACATTTTGAAAATAACTACATCAATTTTGAGGGCTCGGAAGTGATTGAAGATATGAAAGCAACCATATATCTTATCTACTTACAAATATGTTTTCCTTCAAATAATTTTGCATCGTATTTTAACGTATAAGGTGATGAAGTATTGGGCCACTATAGAGCCCGTTATATGTTACTAATGGGCCCATAAATGTTTGTTTTTCTAACGTAACATTAACATGGTATGAAGAGATACATATGCATATGATTTAACATAAAGATATACATGCATATGATTTTTTTTGAAACGGTATTTTGTTATAAAGTTATTAAAAAGCTCCCTAGTAAATTAGACAACGAGATTTATTAAATTAAATCAATCACTGTATGATTATTTTAGTTTTTTTGTTTGAAAAAAAGAGATATAGGATTAATTTAGTTAATTTCAAAATTATGAGATTAGATCGCGATATTTACTATCCACTGCATCAAAATTAAATATATATTTTTGAAATATTAGTTGATTTTAAGAAAATCGTCACGTTTCCAAAGTAAAGATGATAATCTAGATTTAGTGTACTTGACCCAAAAAGACTTTTAACAAATCCAATGACACGTGTTTTATGCATGTGAACTATAGTCATCCAATGGCTACAAAAAGAAGACCGTTGTAATAGAACCGTTGGTGGCTCATCCTCCTCTTTATAAAAGACAATTAAATCTCTCACAGACAGAGATTCTTTTATTACCAAAGAGATTCTTTTATTACCAAAGAGAAAACCAAAGAAAAAATAATTAAGAATCTGTAGTAGAGAACTAGCGACTATGGTGACACGGGAAGAACAAACATGAGTCAAAGAGGTATGTTTTTTGCTTTCTATATGATGAATCTGATTATTACTCCTTTGTATTTATGAATTCTAGCTATGGATTTTATTTGTTTTTTTGTAAATTTGGGTTTGGTTTTCACTGATTTTCTATGAGTATAGCTCGTTTTAAACTCAGTATAATACTTGATTCGAACTTTCTCTCGTTATGGTAAAAATCTGATGAACGGATCTTTGTATTGGTTTCTTATGATTGATTCTGTCAAAACAGGTGCGTTTTTCCTGTCGCTCGCTGAAGGTATAAAGATCCAGAGCAAAATCGGTGCAGCCAAGAATCTTCGGTAACATTCAAAACCTTGTGATGATTCTAGAGTAGTTTAAGATGATTATGTTTTGATGAATCTGTTTTTTTTTTTGGTTGCATATGAGATGAATCCGGAGGAGATTTGAAGAGAAGGATGGAAGAAGAGAGAGAGACGGGGAGGAGAGAGAGAGAGGAGGATAGAGAGAGATAGGGCATAGAGAGAGAGGGGAGAGAGAGAGGAGGAGAGAGAGAGAGAGAGAGAGAGAGGGGTGCAGCTCGGGGG